TTCGCGTAGCAGCTGAGCGTGACCTGTAGGGTGGCTGAGCGGGGAATAGCTGAGGTTAGTTTGGGGATAGGTGAGGTGAAGGGGTACCATATTGGCGCGACCGACGCTCGCCTGAACAGGAGCACGCAGCGACTGCGGAGACCGAAGCATCCATGGCTGTCATGAGATGGGGAGGAGAGTAATCGATTATCCATGACCAGATTTTGAACTTTTCATTATGAAAGTGCCCTGCGATCATATGGCGCGTTTCTACATTCATTTGATTAGAAGACAGCGATTAGTCACGACTCTAAAGCAGTTGCATGAGCCCGGCGAAGCCGGGCTTCCAAGAAGGAGGAGAGCTCGGCGTTAGCCGGGCGATCCGACTGGTAAAAGGATAAATAGAATGGGAAACCCAAGAGTTAGGGGAATTGACGTCACACTTAGAAGTTCTGAAATTGGAAAGCGGTCTGGAATGTGTTAAGCAGTTATATTTCACGCCACAGTTGGCTTACAGAGGCAATCAGGAACTCAACTACAAGCAAATTAGTTTACAGTGACAATGAACTTTCGTACATTATTGGACACCTTGTTTTTGATTCCCTTGTATTACAGCCACTTCGAAGGTCAATCGTGTCAACAAGTGTTTAAGCAGAAGCACTGCATTAACAGCCCCTGACCGTGGTCGTGTCTCAGCACGATTTCAGGTTATTACGGTGACTTTCTCTATCCGGATTTTCTCAACGATACTTTATCGGGAGGACCCGGTCTTTTCATGCACAGTAGCTATTGTCAATACTCCCCAACCCCTTACCCCACACGGCAACAGTTCACAATTTAATTCATCATTGTACATGGCCTCGACGATCGACACCCCGACTACACAAGGATCTGATCAATCGTTTAGCATACCGTCAATTTTGCATCCAACCTTCTCCTTTTCCAATATATATTGCTTACAGATCTTTCGCAGACATTAACTACAGCGCAATTCATGCGGCCACTCCTTCACTATATACGTCTTCAGTTTACCACAGATATGTTCTGCGACAAACCTTCTCCCACAGCAGTAACCTCTGTTACACCCCTCCCCTCCTTGCAGACACACATCGCATCTGCGAGCCATCCCATCTCGGCAATGCCGGACTTCTTTCAGTTCTCTTAGGTGCCTCCGCTTCTCCTAACACTCCAAGCATAAAGGCAAAGCCACGACCACAGATGTGGGTAAACGGAACCACAATAGGAATGAAGAAGCGCGCTTGGAATATGCATTAGCGGAGAGAAAGCCAGCGAAAAAAACAGCCGAGAATGCCCTAAATAGGATTCCCCAACTTGTACATGCATGCAATGAAGAAAACGCATGTTTGTACGAATTTCCACTCGTCGTTATCATAAAGATATCAGCTCTTTTATCGTATCACCTCACTCTCACCATTCGGAATGGAGAGAGATAGCATAGTGGCTACTAGCTAGTAGCTAGCAGCCGGTGGGGGTCGGCATGGGCCTAAGGGGCGCCCATGGGCCTAATTGGTTAGCTTAAGCGGAATTCTTGCCGATTTTCACTTTCTAAAGGTAGCGCAGCCTCCGCAATCTCCTTCCGGATCGTCTGACACATTTGAAAGGTCATAGCCTTATTTTATCGCGGAAAGTGCCTTTAAGGTGTGGCGATACATAGGCGAGAGACAAGTAAGTAAAAGAGGGAAGAACGACGTGCTGATTTACAGAATTCCAGGGACGACACGATCATTCACCTTCTAACAAGAGGTCACTCAATTATGCGAGGGCTCCCCATTGGCAAGGGAGACTAGGTGCGAGATGAGCCAGCCTAATTACCGGCCTTCGATAAGAATTGGTGGTTCCACGCTTGCTGAGGAATGACTGTCCGTCGCAGGGAGGTTAGCAACTAAGTGAAAGAAAGGAATTAGTAAGGTTATAGCCCTTTTGTGTACACTCGGTGGGTTAAGCGCGGTATACATCGAAAGAAAAAAAACGTCAGGGTGTCGCGCGGTGTCTTAACCTCAAGCACCCGGTGGAACGGTGCACATGTTATTGAAGGAGCTGAAGCAGATGCATTGAAAATTTGAAGATTTTAGTTAGATGTACGGGCAGATTGAGGGATTGGTATTTTTTTTCTTTCGTTTCCAAAAGAAGAGAGAACTGGAAATTAAAATTCAATTTAGAGTGGTCACCTCCTTCCAAAAGCACATCAAATAGATCGAGAGTTTCGTGTGCAGAAAGCGCTTCATGGTCACGTTCCCGTGCCGAAGGTCATCCTGTATAATGAGAAGTGAGTTTTAATCGAAACCTATGGCAGTGGAGTTGCTAGATTTCCGCTAGTTGGCTGGACAGCTATAGCACAGTGGGTCAATTGGGTCCTCATGCGAATTCCTCCTAGCCCCATAAGCAATGCTTCTTTCCCATCATTTGCGACATTCGCTCACCTCACAATGACGATGAATTTAAGTAGGAAGGCCAAAAAGATAGGCGCGCTCGCAGTTCGTATCCATCCAGTGCTCCAGTACCGTACTTGGTTTCACACTCGTCATCGTTATGAAGTGTGTTAAGCATCCCTTTAGCGCACCAAGGCCGCATCCTTTGCGACTTCCTTCAACTGCATTGTTGACCGACTGATTTCCCCTCTCAACGGAAACGTCAGACAAGCACATGTCACAGGGGGGGGGGCAAAAAAGTCACTTCGACCGAGTCACATATCAGCAAAGTTTTCGCAGCCCAGACAGAGGACGTGGATACCCAAGATGTTCCTCGATAAGCAGGAGCTGGCTCTCGCCCATCACCTTCATGTACACCAAAATATGAAGTCATCTCCAGTCGCAGCCTGACTGGAGAAGACCTTTGGAATTCATGTCACCTCCAAACAGCTGCGAAACTTCTAGTATGGAGTCACCCATGGATAGCTACCTGGAGACCAGTACTCTCGATCTGGATGACCTCCAACATCGAGCAGCTCCGACAACGTCGCCACGGTCTAGGACATCATCTTCACCGGGTTCATGGCGAAACGAATCACTTTTATTTAAATACTTGATACAGTGCAGTTCTCAGCGGACGGTGGGGCGGTCCTAAGGCCACGCTGGCTAGCGGCCCGATATTTGCCTGTTGGTCGAAAGCCGCAATAACCTTGCCCCTGCGTCTCTGACACTGACTCTGCGCTCTAACGCACGCCGCCGCACAATCTACCCACTCTCCCGTTCTGGACTCTCGCCGATCGATAATTGCTCCAGCAGCTGATTTTGCGGCACTTTCGCAGTATTTTTTTTTCACATTCAGCTTGAAAAGGCTGCGATTTTTCGGTTCGAATCGTTGAAGGTGAGCATTCTTACTAGAACACTATAAAAAAAGTAGGGACAATAAGGAAAAGTATGGACAAATTGCGAAAATCAGATGGAAAAAATGTTTTCTGGGAATTTCAAGCTAAATTCATGCAAATTTGATGCAATTTTAGTAAGAATACTTACCTTCAACGACTGTAGCCGAAAGTCGAGAAATCTCAGCTCTTTCAAGCCGAATATGGCAGGAATTCGGAGAAAATACGGCAGGAATCAGCTGATCGAGCAGCGTCAGCCATTATCGATCGGCGAGAGTGCAGGACGGAAGAGTGAGTAGAGGGCGCGGCGGGGTGTGTTAGAGCGCAGAGTCAGTGTCAGAGACGGAGAGGCAATGATGATAATTTCCTACAATTTCTCGGCTTTCCATCGACACGCAATCAGCGGAACGCTCGCCGGCGTGGTCGTAGGGAACGCCCCACCGTCCGGTGAGCGCTCCACTGTATGTCCATCCTTACTTTCTTTTTCTTCAATTGACCGGACGTGTCTGGGAAAGACCAGTATTTTCTTCATGAACCCCGCACTGAAGGTGAGCGCTGGCGGGTACATCTAGTAACTCGAGAAGAATATCCTCCTCACATGTCGTCGTCCGTACCTTCTAGAAACTTTGTACTGCTACAGAATCGGGTGCCACCACATGGAATCGAAGGGCGTTGGAGAAACTTCGCCTACTTGGAATGGAAGGGGGCTGAATACCTAAAGAAGATGGAATATCCAAGTAGGTCACCTGACCTGAAACCCCTCAATCACCCGGTCGGGCGTAGTTCAATAGGGTTGTCAATAGGGTGGTCATCGCTCGCGTGCCAGAATCTCTCGATGGTGCTCGTCCAGAAGGCTGTGGCGGAGTGTCATGATAGTATTTAATATGCTCTTTAATATGGTGGTAAATGTCCGATCAGAATTTAATAAAGTGTAACTTATAGCGCCTCGAAAGTCAATGAAGAAAAGTGACTTTTTTTGCCCCCCCCCCTCTGTATATGTATGTCCTCATTGACAAAAAATTCTCATGCGAACAATCTTTTATTTTTCAACGGGATTCCAGTTTTGGGTGAGAAATCTTTTTTCAGTCTTCTCGATACCCCGTTCTATCTCATGGAGTACACAAAGGGTCGAATCTTCATGGATCCTACACTTCCCGAACTGAAACCAAGCGAGCGAAAGGAAATTTATAACGAAGCCATTCGCACGCTTAGCAAAATTCACTCCGTAAATCATGGTAAAGTCGGTCTGGGTGACTACGGTAAGAAAGGTGTGTTTGCAGTGTTATATGTTCTGAATGCGAGGGCTGAGATACCATAATCGGTACTTCCAGAAGGCTATATGAAGAGGAACCTGGAGCGTTGGGCGAAGAACTATGAGATAGCCAAAACCGATGAGATTGCTGAGATGAGTCAACTGCACGATTATCTTTGCAAGAATATTCCTGAGGACAGTAAAGACATCACCATAGTGCACGGTGATTTTCGGTAGGTCCCTCTTGGAGCCTAGATGCACAGCTTTAGTATTTTACACGAAAAGTCACCAAAATTTAAAAGGCTTTGAGGATGCCCTAGAAAGTAGGGTGCAAACCTTGAGGCTCGCGCATTGATGTCGCACTCAAATCAACCTACTCTAGCTGATTGGATCCATCAGATGGTTAATGTCAGCGTACATCCCACTGCGCTATTTGATTGTGTGTGATGGCGTACGCCAAGAACCTTACGCCTTATTTTTGTTAACGCAACATGGAATGTAAACGGTATCCCTGAGCAAAAACTGGAGCTAAGGTAGCGGTACCCCCGCGACCTATGTACTCCGGCACGGTCGCAACTGCGGAAACAATTGGTTCCTCAGGAGCCCGCTGTCATGGCCTAGTCCATCTCACCGGTGGAGCCAAATAGCTAGGATATGATTCGCGAAATATGAGAACAACGCATGAAAAACATGTTTTTCTGCGAATTTTTTGGTTTTCGGATAAAAAAGCTGGGCACTGGTCTATAACTCAAAAGTTCGGTGGATTTTGAAGGCATGAAACACGATATTGTATTGTATTGCTCAGAAAGAGCATCAGGGGTGCTATATGGGGGGGGGGGAAAATGACGAAAAAGCGAAGGTAAAGGCCAAGAACCTGCAAAAGACCTTTGTTCTGCACGGCATTCGACGAGCAACTTGAACGGTTTCCTGTTGAGGGCGTTATAAGGGAGTCTTCGTTGAAAAATGTGCCTTGTAGCGTCAAAGGCACCAGTTCTGTACTGCTACGCGTATTTATCCTCCCACTGTGGAGAATTATCGTGCGTCTTGCCTTTAATAAATGCCACACTAATTTGGCACTACAAAATATATATTTATATCTTGCTGAAATTTACACCCCTAATTTTCCCCCGTAATGCTTTGTTGCCGTAATTTTGTGAGTCTTGCTCTTTAGCTTGGACAATCTGGTTTTCCATCCAACTGAAAATCGTGTGGTTGCTGTGCTGGACTGGGAGACATCAACGATCGGGGACTCATACGCAGATGTTGCCACGTTCCTCTTTCCACATTACAGCACCATCAAAAATAAGGTAAATTGCTTTGTTAATGGTTTGTTGAAAGACAACTCCGTCTCTAGGAAGAAGACTGATTTCATAGGTATTACCTGGTATGGGTCATCATACCGAAGAAGAATTCCATCGGCTCGGAGTCCCCACAGTCTCAGAGGCTCTTGAGTTGTATGCACATACTCGGCAGGTAGAGCTCATTGATCCGAACAAATGGGTCTTCTATATCGCATTCGTCGTCTACCGTTTTGCCAGCATCGTACAAGGTACTGTTTAGTCTGAAAATTCTGTCACTGTTGCTACGAGCCACTACAGCCATGATGAACACAACATTTCACAGTACAAACCTCATTTAGGGAAAACGACCTGGTAAAACAAGTTTCAGCCCATTTAATATAATCAGATATTTTCTTCTGTATTCACACTCTGAATAAATTAGAAGACAAACTCGTGGGCAGCCAAACTGAACAAGGTCTATTAGGTTACTTGTTCCAAGAATCTGAATTCAGCATGAGCGCCAAGTACCGTAAATTGTGAAATAGATGCCATATGAGCTATATAAGTCTGTGGTGGACGTACGCTATTATTCGCTGACGATACTGGAGCATGTCAGCGGGGAGGAGGGGGGGGGGCTGGGTTTGGTTACGTGACATCTTGAACTTTTGCGCGTGGTCCTGTTGCGAAACCAAGAAACGCAGACAGATAGAGGACAGCGCCTGCCAAAGCATCGAGACGTGCAAGAAACTATGGCGAGCCAGGAAACGAGCTTTTTCAAGGGGGGGGGAACTCTGGGGTGGGTGAGCACTCCTAGTGGGTTCACTGCAGACGCTTGGGCGTGTCAGGCGGGATGAGTTTGGCGCGTGCCAAACCGTTCCCCACCAGCTGTTAAAGCGAGCAAATGATATGACTGTATCATATCGTTCGTATTACTCGTTTTCTACCACTTTTTGTCGCATGCGCGCTTCAACAAGAAGGCAGAGAACGGCTTTGACGGGGTGACACACTCATACTGCCTGACACGCCCAACCGTCCGCAGCAAACTAGAGTGTATCTTACGTGAAATGCAGGAATGCGAAGTCACAATGACCAGAGAGCTACGCGGGTGTGAGAGAGCAGAAAAAAAACACAAGTTTGACGCATTCAAAGGAACAGAGTTTAAATGGTCCGTAGAACGCGGCACCAGCTTCTTCACCAATTGTGGTGAGGCCAACTACTACAACTGGCGGCAAAAGGCATGGGGACGCGCCAAACTCACCCCGCTGACGCGACCATCATCCGCAGCGAACAAGACTATCTGTATACGTCGGTCTTATCGGTCTCAACGCCAGCACCAATACAGCGGAAAGGATCGCTGCGTTGCTAAAAGTTGGATAGTACTTCCGCTGTTGTTAGCTTTGCTCTCGAGGCTACACTGTGGTGCTTTCAACTAGTTACAATGAGACAATAATTACTACATGCATAAGAACTATAGGGGAGTGTTTGTCAATTCAGACTTAGGATTTTCATTGATATTTGTTTAACAGCAGGTCAGGTTGTGGCAATGGCGCTTGTTGTGCAGGGAAATCAATCCTGACACTTCAGAATATGACAAATTCATTTTTAGGAGTGTATAAGCGATCACTGCAAAAGAACGCTGCCTCTACAGATGCCCACAAATTGGCAGTTGTGCCACGATTATTGGCAAGTTTAGGTCTGACCATTGTAGGAAGGATGCAGCACGGTGTCAGGGAAATCGGTGAGTGGTTTATAGTGATGGAACAAAAGTAATCTTATGCATGACTGTAACTCATAAACGTCTCAACAGCGCTTTGCTCCTATTTTAGGACTCCTTGCCATCGTTCCACAATCGCTGCATGGAAAGGCCCGGAAGTTCTACGAAATGGTCAAGAAAATTGTTCACGATGAAATTATTCCGTTGGAAGCCGAAGCATCGCTCTATTACCAAGGACCTGACCGATGGACACCGTACAGGAAACTTGAGAAGATTAAAGTTGGTGAAAGTGAACCTATATTGCGCTATAGCACCTCTCTCTAACAATTTTTTGCCACGAAACCGGTGCACGGTTGCTCGCTGCGGGCCACACTACCTTCCGACGCCTTATTTTCAACTTCTGTACCTGATCGAACTGAATACTCATCTCTGTGGACTGGTCTTTGCCATGTCTGAGATGAATTAGTCCGCAGTTACAGTAGCGTGACACTTTCTCGGTCAGGAGAGCCCAAGTATAAGACTAGAGTGTAATGATACTGGGCTGCCGTTTCATATTTCACCCGCGCTGCCGCACGGCCGGCTGCACGCCCAACCATAGCCGAACGCGCTACTTGCTGGCGCACCCTAATTGTAAGATTTCTTTGTTCACTACCTCTGAGTGTGTATTTCGCTGTGAAATCTTGGTATCGACACAATCGTGTAGTGCTGCACCCTGAAATCGTGCGCAGAGTCCCAAATGGCACCCGGGTATCAGCACGGTTCAGTCTTGTCCCTCCTTAGAAACCAAACAAGAAACATCTAATAGGACAGCCACCGACGCTAGCGGAGTCGCTTGAGCTACCTTGCACCTTGATTCCTCTGCCTAACCACTTTCTGAAGCTAAACTGGTGCAAAGATTGCCCACTGCGGTCCAAGCTACCTCTCAATATGAAAAGCCTCGATAATTTCAAGAAATCACGAAAAGTACCCTTAAAGACAATCCACGGCCAAGAGCAGTGCGTACACGTCCTTCCTTTTGCAAGTAGTCTGAGCCTCAATGCCTGAGACCGTACCACTTTCGCTGCTTTACAATAACTACTGAGGGCACTGTGGCCCTCATAAGTGGCGGTCCTGACGCCTCTTAAGTGCTCCGCTCTTCGAATTTCAAGAGCTGTTTTCTGCCACGCCAGATCAAACAGCATATTTTCCTTTTTTTCGTTGTTAGGTAGTATTAACACTGGATGGCGCGAAGAAACGATTAGGCTGCATTCATACTTTGCGGCAGCGTCCACTAGTGACCGATAGCCTCAACCAGCGTTCCCCCGGAAGCTTCAGCGACTAGGAAAGTTTAGATAACTCGTGCGCCAGCGTCTACCACCGCCTGCTGGCGTCCGGGAGAGGAGAGTATGACGCGATAGGAGGGTAGCAGACAGCTGGTACTCTCCTATTGCGCCATACTCTTAACCAACACTCTGCCACCCTCCTATCTCCCCATGCTCCACCAGCTGTCTGCTACTCTCCTACTCTCCTATCGCGCCATACTCTCTACCAGCAATCTGCTACCCTACTCACGGCATACTCTCCTTTCCCAAAGCTGGTACACACTGGTGCACGCTGCTGCACGCTGGAGGACGATAGATCGATATCTAGACATTCCTATTTGCTGACGCTCCCGGACGCTCGGAACGTTGATGCGCTGTTGGTCGCTGGTGGACTGAACGCTTCCGCAAAGTATGAACGCAGCCTTAGTGAGCCGGAGGCGACAGGATATCCCATTGCTGGCATGAAACGAGCAGGTCCGGACAACTCGTACAACGAGGCTGCCAAGGGGGCCTTACGGTGTTCTCTACGATGTCTTTTTTGTTTTTTTTCCTCCCTGGAAAGTCACTTAGTGACTATAGGTTGGCTATTTAGCGTCACTTCTCACAATATGCAATCACGGGGTGTGTATTTAAGGAAAGAGCAAGATCGCATGGTGCATGGAATCTGTTCATAGCTAAGCACATTGATCCTGAAGGTGTCTATGGAGCTGGCCTAACCAACGTGGAGTATGCTCACATCTGTGAATTGATGGGCCGGAGCCCGTATGCGCCCGAGGTCAGGAGTTTTGTACCTTACCATAAAATTTTTCCTGCGATTTTTCTTTTTCTTTTTGCTGCCTCGCTGTACAGCTGAACAAAGTCTCAGCATTGTCCTCTCTCTAAGAGAATGTAGCTATCGGCTCATTCCGTTAGCTTGACACTGTATAAAACTTCGTGAAATACTGGTTTTTTTCAGGTCTTCAATTGTCAGGCGCCAGATACTGGTAACATGGAAGTACTGATCAAATATGGTAACGAGGCTCAGAAGAAAGCATGGCTCTTACCTTTGCTGAAAGGTGAAATGAAAAGCTGTTTCGCTATGACGGAACCAGATGTGGCCAGTAGTGACGCTACAAACATACAGGTAAACCCTCGTTCTGGGTGTTTTTACTCCTTAACCTTCCCCCTAGACACCATCAGATACCATTAGGAGGTTATTAGCTTTTAAAGAGTGTGTGCCGGGATTGATCCTGATTTAGGGCTCAATCGTACGGGATGGTAACGAGTACATCATAAACGCCAGAAAATGGTTCACTTCGAATGCTGCTCATCCTGACTGTAAAATCTGCATCTTCATGGGACAAATGGCTGGCAAAGCGGTGAGTTAGAAATCATCTTAGCTTCTTTCCTTGGACAAATTCGATATTGCTCTTGAATGGTTTAACAGATCAGCATCATATAATACTTGAAGGGATTGCCCTCACTTCCATTTTGAGTGGTGTATGTTAGTGGAACTGGTTTCACTGAATTCTGAGGGGTTGTACAGTCATTACGGTCTGTACAACGACGTGACGCGTGTGACGCGACAGCGGCTCGGTGACGGCGAATCAGCTGATTTCCATGGAATTCGGCTGCGAATTCCCACTTTTTCAACTCTTCAAGCTTCGAAAGTGGAAGGTGAGTTATTTTGAGCAATTTTAAATTGTACTGACTCTGAATGAATCTGAAAGAATGCAAGCCATTTGAATAAATGCCTGAAATAAGGCAAAATACAAGGAAAAGAGCATATAATCGACAT